TTGGTGAACGAATCCGAAACCTCAATGTCGTCAACTACTGTTTCTTAGAATAAGTGCCAGGTCTTACAGGGGTCGGTGATTGTGGTGATAGCGAGGGTGTTTGAGCTGTTGTTGTTGATGGTGGTGGGGGTGATTGTGGCGGTGCTGTTGTTATTGTTGTTGGTGGTGTTGGAGCAGTTGTTGTTGGTGGTAGTTGTTGTTGTTGGCGGTGGTGGTGCTGTTGATGTTGGTGGTAGTTGTTGTTGGTGGTGATGCTGTTGATGTTGGTGGTAGTTGTTGGCGGTGGTGGTGCTGTTGATGTTGGAGCAGTTGTTGTTGTTGTTGGCGGTGGTGGTGCTGTTGAAGTTGGTGGTAGTTGTTGTTGTTGGTGGTGCTGTTGATGTTGGTGGTAGTTGGTGTTAGTTGGTGTTGGTGGTAGTTGGTGTTGGTGGTAGTGGTGGTGGTGGGAGTGGTGTGTGGTGGCGTAGTTGGTGTTGGTTGTGGCAAAGATGACTGGGGTGGTGGTGATGATAGTCGCCTATTATTTGTTGTTGTAGTTTGATGATGATGATGATGATGATGATGATGATGATGATGATGATGATGATGATGATGATGATGATGATGACGACAACAACAACGACAACAACAATGACATCAACAACAACAACGACAACAACAACAACAACGACAACAACAACAACAACAACAACAACAAAAGCGACAACGACGATGATGATCGTGATATTAATTGTCCTAGAGGTAGTAGTATCTGCATTTTGTCTGTCCGCTCAAGTATCGGTAATCGAAGCCGCCAGACATTGAGCATGTACTGCAATCCACATAAACAGTTCTATCGATTAACCAATCAGCCGGGTATCGATCCTGTTGCCCCCTATTCTTATTGCAGTTACTGCAAACCCTGTACTGTTACGCGATTAGGAAGAAAGAAAGAAAAAAAAAGGAGAAAATGAATGAAAGAAAAAGAGAGAGAGAAAGAGAGAAAGAGAGAGAAAGAAAGAAAAGGAATCGGAAAGAAGAAGCGGAAGATCGATGTGGGGGAAGTAACGAGTCCGATAAATTATTGAGGCGTATATCGAGTTGCATATCGCCTGCCGGAGCTGGTGATGAGAGTGGGCTGGTACCAATGCGCTCTCCTGACCTTTTTTTGTTTGGGTTTTTTTGGGGGTGGGGGGGGTTGTTGTTGTTTTGTTTTTTTGCTTGTTTTTTCTTTTGGGGTTTTTTGTGTGCTTTTTAAAACACTTCTCGCGGTCCTCTTTCTACACCCAGGCCCCTCACCCTCCTCCCCTTCTCCTCCCCCTCTTCCTTCCTTTCTTCTCCACTCACAACCTCATCTCGGTTAAGTCAGAGTGTCTATGTTTCTGTCTGTCTGTCTGTCTGTCTGTCTGTCTGTCTGTCTGTCTGTCTGTCTGTCGGTCAGTTTGTCTTTCAGTCTGTTTTACTCTCTCATTGTCTCTGTCTGTCTTTTCACCCTTCTCCTTCTCTCTCTCTCTCTCTCTCTCTCTCTCTCTCTCTCTGTCTTCTCACCCTTCTCCTTCTCTCTCTCTCTCTTTCTCTCTCTCTCTCCCCCCTCTCTCTCTATCTCTCTCTCTCTCTCTCTCTC